TATGGAGACTACGTCAAACTCAAGGTAAGAGATAAGTAAGTGGAGCACCATGAAGGCATCTACACATATATATATAGTTAAATAAAAATATTACAATAGTAATGTTTCAGGATGCAATATATATAATCACTAATCAATGATTAGTTTGTTTAAGAGAGAGAGATAGAGACATATATGACGAACCAATAATGATAAATCACCAGCTAGAACTTGATGTGGATACTCTTTAATTAACTATCAACTAATTAGTTTCATAAGAAATTAACCTGAAGTGGTTAAGATTTTAATCTTTTATTATCTGGCGTTGGGAATTAATCTGGGGTTTAGACCAATATTGTATAAGAGATAGAGACAACTGTACAAGTTTTTGATGCATGCATATTTAATTATACAAAACATAGATTTCGTCACATTTGTTGAACTCACGTTTGTCTGTTAGGTTTCTTGCAGATATAAATCTCCTAACTGGACGATAAAAGACAACTATGCTCTTGATTATTTTTGTAATATCTTTTTAACACTATGATATATACTTACTACTGCATCCAGAAATCCTTAGTTTTGGAATATGTTTAATTTCTTCACAAACGTACTTTCGCAATATAACATTTGGAATATGTATACTAGAATGATTTTTTTATATTCTGTAGATGACTAATAAACAGAGAAGTACTTCACATGCATAGTAAATCAGAATGTTGTATAAATTGAAACCGAAAAAAAATATCGAATCTTCTATCTAAAAATGTTGCATGTGAGCCACTACCACGCCAAATTCGCTTGTACACTTTGTAAAACAAAGTTATGGCCATGCCATTTTTTTAGCACGGATTGCTTCATGAAAATGATTCACTTTGCATGATTTCAACTATATATGGAGTCCACAATGAATGGGACAAGGCGATTGTTGACAATGCAGGTTATAAAACGTGCGAAATAGCGACTTGATGTTAATTTCTAGCCGTTCTAAATTTAAAGGTGGACAAGTTAAAAGGAGGAGCGAACATATCACCAATGGACGAGGAGGTCTTTAAGAAAAACAAGGAGGTGATGTGCTAGAAACTAGCACCAAAGAAAGAGATGGACCATCATATTCATATCAAGTTGAAATTCGGAATCAAGCCACTAGACATGGTCCCATATCACATGATCCCAACCGACTTTAAGAAATTGGGGAAGCAACTTGATGATGATCTTTTCTCGATTCCAAAATGAATTTGTAGATTTTCTTTTTGAATTTATAAATTTTAAGAGCTTCTTCCTCGTATATTCAAAAAATGTTAAAAGACAAAACACAAATGGTAGTTCTTTTCACAATATTCGCTCCGTGTTCACTTCTAGTCAATTAAAGATACAAAACCACGATTTTAAAAGATGAAATATTGATACAGCCACGAAAAAGAAAGCAAAATTAATTCGCATTACAAACCCTTCTCAGTTTCATTCCTCAAATCAAATACATAAAATCCCAGAGTAACAATTGTTTCCAAAAAGCAGAGGTAAAGATCGATTTCATAAAAAGCTCGAAGAGAAGACCTTAAAGCCAATGAAGCAGAGATTC